CAACGGGAGCTCACCCCGTCGCGGGAATTCAAACCGCCGACCTTCTGATCGGCAAGCCCTAGGCTCAGTGGTTTAGACCACAGCGCCACCCACGTCCCTGGTGGGAATGCTCATAACATGTACCTAATTTTGGCGTGCCCTTTAGAAGAGAAACGTGTCTACTATTTACATATATCTTCAGACACTAGTAAGTCTGGAGAACTTTGGGCACATTTATGGCGCGGCCACACTTGTGCGTGTTCACCATTATTTATCGTCTGAAGAAACTGCTGGGAGCAAATCAGTTCTTGCATAAGAATATTCTGCAGATTTGCACTAACATCCTGGAGTCTGGTCAGGTCAGTATTTTGATACACAGGTCAACGCATCGCCTTGCTATGTCCTGCATTCCCCAACCCCCCCTCATTCTTTCACAGGAGGGAACCGATGTTGTGATCAAAGAATCAGTTGACTCATTTTCCATCCCTACCCCTCTTCCCCTGCTTCCCATAGCTTAATTGGGTGGAGAAGCACATCCTCAGCACGACTGGAAAGCACTTGACTATTTATTTTAAAACAACAGCTCTAATTGTACGTGTCCTAGCTGGGGGTTGCAAGGAGGGGTGTGGAAGAATGTGTGGGCACGCTGTCTCCCTCTCCCTGGGCCCCAAACAAACCAAATCCCGCCCAGAATAGATTTAGTAGTACTTTCTTCTTCTTCTTTATCCATAGCTGTCAACTTACGGATTTGAAAATAAGGGACCAGCAGCCTCGAAAATAAGGGATCAGCAGCCAAATAAGGGATCAACAATTACTTTGATAAAATACATATTTTGTTGCGTGCAAATGGCTTTAGATACCTATTAGGTCCATAAATTACCATGTAGCATATATTCAACACAAAAAACAGCAACTATTTGTTGTTGACAAAGCACAGCTGGACATAGAAAGGTCCCCATTACCTTCAGTAGCTTATTTAAGGGACATCATCAATAAGGGACAGCAGCAGGACATGGCGCTGGGATAAGGGACTGTCCCGCCAAATAAGGGATGCTTGACAGCTATGCTTTTATCCCTTAGCTCAAAACAACTCTCTCTGCAACAGTTTTAGCCAAATTATGAAGCGGCAGACCAGTGGCAACTCTGATCTAACACTCCAGAAGCCATCACCCGAGTTTTGCACTCGTTCCCAGCGGTGCGTTTGGACTGCGCCACTTAATGCACATCAAAAGCAGTGGCTCACAAGATTGAATGCTCCTCCACAAATCCCTTCACATACAGAATTAGGTGTCAGAGACAGAGTCTAGACTAGCATGGGAAGCTACTTTTCTAGGTACAGGGAATATTTGCCTGGAGAACTGTGTGACCATACAATCAACCTTCAGGCCAGGAGCCTGGGCAGGGCATTCTGGGCTGCCCTGACCACTCATGGACCTCAGCTGTTTAGCTACAATTCCTGCATTGCAGGGGGCTGGACTAGATGATCGCTGAGGCTCCCTTTCATTCTACAGTTCTAGGATTCTACTCAGGACCTGCTCATTTTAGCTTCCACCATCAGATGAAAAATCTCCTTATTCAGGAAGCCTATTGTTAATGACGCTGCAGTAATTTGTATTTCTGGTTGTTGTTTTAAAAAAATAGTTATACTTTTCAGATATATACATTTCATTGATTTTACAAACATTTTAAAACTTGACTTCCTTCCCTCTCTTTCTGTGGTTCCTTAAATTTATTTTTAATATTTTCTGCATATCCAAATTAACTTACTCATTTATTTATCATATATATATATATAGACACACACACACACACACACACACACACACACTCTTATGTAGCTGCAGGTTATTACAATAATCCTGCCAGTGTTTTTATCTGTTTACAATTTATCTGTAAATATTCAATAAACCATTTCCATTCTTTTATAAAAAGTTTGTTATCTCGATTTCTTATTCTTCTGGTAAGTTTTGCTTTTTCTGCATATTCCATAAGTTTTTGTATCCATTCTTCCTTTGCTGGGACTTCTTTCCATTTTGGAGCAACTGAAATACACAAGTAAATTTCTATACAATTTAGGTAGTTCATCCCTATAATTCCCAAGAGAAAAGCTTCTAGGTTTTTTTGTTTTGTTTTTTACAAACGTTATTTTTTATTTATCTCTCTGTTTTATTTTCCTCTTTTCCTATGTTGTATACAACATAGTTTTACCCAGAGTAGATCCACTGAAATGAATGGAAATAAGCTAGTCATGTCCATTCATTTCAATGAGTCTGCTCTGAATATTACTAACGTTGGATTCAGCACTCAGCTATTGTTTTTGTTGTCTCTCATGAGTGGTTTACGCCACTCAGTGGTGCCTTTTGAAAATGAGATCAACGTGTCAGGTGAGATTACATGAAAGAAGACTGAAATTAAAAAGGACGTTATTTCTTCTCTCTGTGGGATGTAATTCACTGAGAGCAGTCCAAACACAACATTCCTTGTTTTCCTAGAGAAGACATGCAAGGGAATGTTTGGTCCAGCCAGTCGAAACTTCCTGTTCCTCCTGGCTGGAGCATCCTTCCTTTGCATGTGATAGAAGGTGGGCGTGACCTAACCTGTCCAGGTAACAAAAGGACGAGTCACGCAGCACACCCCTCTCTTTTTCACTTCCTTCCTCGTTGGACCAGCTTCTTAGCTAGGAATGGTCTGCTAGCCATATGGGGTAGATCCACATGTACTTATTTGTAACTAAGTCTGCCTTCAGGGATCACACTGTACTCTTCCTGATGTAAGTAAACTTCTTTTATTAACTTTAAATAAGATTGTGGAGTCTTTATTCTTTTAAGAGGGATCCATGCGAGCTTACCAGGAACGTACAAGTCAATCTCAGACAGATTGAATTGTATAATAGTGAGAGGCTTACACAAGCCTGCAGCCAGATATCTGCTGCGCATGTAAAAGGGGAATGTAAACTCTGCTAAGTAAAGGAACTTGCTAACGAAAGTTAGGAAGGATATTATAAACAATATATCCTCTCCTGCCTCCCTGAACATTCCCACACTGTCAAGTCATAATTACCTAACCTGTACTCAAAAGACACATCCCAGAACATGTAATAAAGCCCACCTATCACGCAAAACCTGGGTGCCCCAGGACAAAAAGTTCCCATTGAGCACATGGATTGGCAATATGGACAGACTAGTTACCTACGAACGAATTGCATATCGACGCAAATTAAGAATGGATAAATATGAAGAAATCTGGAAGGAATACTAAAGTGATAAGGCGGACAGTGGTGGGAAGTAGGGGGAGGAGAGGAGGGGAAATATTGTTAAAAAGGTGTAGTTATAGGTATATCAGTACTCAAATCTGAATTGTTAAATTGTGTTATTAGTGTTATTGTGGTTTTTGTTGTATATGGGTTTTTTTGGTTGTTGTTTGTATTGAAAAACTGATTAAATAAATAAATAAAAAATCCTAGAACATGTAATAGATCCCACCTGTCACTCAAAACCTGAGTGCCCCAGGACAAAGGCAGAGCCCAGGGAGTCTTCAAAGAAAGTGGGGCCATCCCTCTTAAAACAGGGAACTTGGAAGATATGGAACTATCTCTGTAAAAGTGGGGGTTGGGGTTGGGGGGGGAGTGGTGAGGGAAAGGCAAAACCTCTCAGACCCATGTTTAGAAAGCACAGGGCCAGTGGAAAACCCCGATGTGCAGGGCAAACAGGAGTGTGGACAAGGCCTTAGTCTATGCACAGCCAACGCTACCAGGTCTTCAGAGCAGAAATATTTTGGAAGGCCAAGCGTTCGAATCCATTATTAATGAACCTTGTTATTTATTTAGAGAAAGCTGCATGCGGCCAGCTTACCCAGAGTGTCAAAATCCTGCAGTCTTGCAAAACAAATAATGGGCAAGGATAGGATAATAATAACCACCATGAAAGCAGAGATGAAAGAAAGGCTGTTGGGTCAAACCGAAAAGGAGGGATGTTTATTTGTTAAGTAGCATCAGGGGGTGCACTCGATTCCTGAACAAATATGGATGGCCCCGTTTCCAGCTGCTGGCGATGGACTCGGACAACAGCTTTTCAGCAGGTGGGGAAACTTCTTGTTCTCGCCAGGTTATTTTTTTTTATAAGCACTTTGGACCCCTCTAGGCATCCTTCCTATTGTACACTTCTGATGATTTGTGCTTGTGATGCTATCCAGGCAGTTATTCGCAATCCCACTTTCAATTCTCTTTACCATTATCCCACACTTTCCACTATACAGTGGTACCTCGGGTTAAGTACTTAATTCGTTCCGGAGGTCCGTTCTTAACCTGAAACCGTTCTTAACCTGAAGCACCACTTTAGCTAATGGGGCCTCCTGCTGCCGCTGTGCCGCCGGAGCACAATTTCTGTTCTCATCCTGAAGCAAAGTTCTTAACCTGGAGCACTATTTCTGGGTTAGCGGAGTCTGTAACTTGAAGCATATGTAACCTGAAGCGTATGTAACCTGAGGTACCACTGTATTTTGCCATCACGTTCCTAATCTGCAAAAAAAATCCAGGGTGTTTTGGTTTCTTAAGTGGTTTGTTGCACAAGACTGCCGGATTCAATTGCGCAACCTAAATTCACCAGTACAGTCGTACCTTGGTTGTCAAACGCCTTGGTACTCAAATGTTTTGGCTCCCGAACGCCACAAACCCGGAAGTAAGTGTTCCGGTTTGCGAATGTTTTTTGGAAGCCAAACATCTGTTTCGGCTGTCGGCATTGTTTCTGGGGCCAATCGGAAGCCGCGCCTTGGTTTGTGAATGTTTTGGAAGTCAAACAGACTTCTGGAATTGATTCCATTTGACAACCAAGGTACAACTGAATCATACCTGCAAAATACCTGGTAATCTGAAAGCCAACTGAAATGCTCAGCATTTTACGCTCAGCCTAAATGGATGTCCACGGCTGAGCTATTGCATTTAAACAAGCTTCTTTCCACCAAAGAAAGAAAGAAAGAAAGAAAGAAAGAAAGAAAGAAAGAAGGAAGGAAAATTTGAGACCTACCAGCAAGAACTGAAGACCTACCAGCAAAAAGCATCTTTCCTGTCAGCATCTCTGCTAGAATGCAACCAGCTGCCCACATGTCAATTGCTTTGGTGTAGTTGTTTGGTGAAAGCAGCAGGCGAGGAGATCGATACCATTTTGTCACCAGCCCTTCCGAGAGGTAACCCTGCAAGAGAAAGAAATATTCTTTTACACCCACACGTATATAAATCATCATGGAAACGATGCTTTGGCCTAAGGTACCTAATACAGGCACGTTGCACAGCACACCAGCATCTTACATGGGGGTTCGGTTCCACGGGTAACACGGGAACACAAAATTCGCGTCTGATCAGAATCACGTTGCTCTTGGAGCCACCTCGCAGCTAGCCAGCCTGCCTTCAATAAGGCAGACGATGAGAGGGAGGCCAGCACTGGCACACTGAGCAGGCCTTGCTGGAGAAAGGCCAAGCATTCACCCACTTGGAGTTAGCCAGTGCAAAGAGAGCTTTTAAGCTCTCAGCCTTGCTCCACAGGCAAGGTCCCCTTGGCACACTGGCTTTAGGACCTAAATATTTTTTGGAGGGGCAAAGGGGCCAGGGCACCTATGCCCACCATGCCCACTTATAGGACATGCACTGATTGGAAATGAAGCCATAGGATCAGCCCAAAACCTCTGCAGGTGCAACAAGTATTGAAAGCGTCATCACGTGTAAATGTCCCTATAGCATCATGAGAACCAATCATCATTAAAGCACAATATGGAGGGCATCTAGAGAAGCCTTTAGCCACCAGACCATAGTTGTCAACTTCTTTTGAGTACTCAAAAGAAATGTCTTCTTTATGGAGACATTTACAGCTTCCTGGGCCCAGCCAACTGCCCTTTCACTGCTAGTTGCCATAATAGGCAAAGATGGAGAGCTGGCCTTGACCAAATACCTTCTCCACAAGCCCCAATAACTGAAACACATCCAACAAAACTGGACCAGATGGGTGCTCAGAATATCTCCTCTGTATTAAACCACAGAATTCAGAAGTGAGCAATTCTGAACATTCAAAGAGCACAACCTGCCACTGTTACTGTGGGTGTTGATTTGAGAGCTCCAGGAAGATGCTCTCTTCCTGCTCTTCCACAAAGCTGTAGGGCATTTGCTAAGATAATACTTCTTGCATCTTTCTTTTCCCTTGCAGAACCATAGCGGTTATTCTAAAGCACGCAATGCCTTTTCATTATTAATTGCTAAACAGCCTGCCTATCTGACGTCTTAGGGATGAATAACTTAATCCAACTCAACAGCTGGCTGGAGGCATCCTCTTTCACGCACCGATGCGTTCATGAAAGGAGCAGGTAGACTCCAGCTCCCAGCTTGTACTAGATAGCAGGTCCTTAAAAGGGACACTTACACAGCTCTAAATGCAGGAAAACTGGAACCCAAGAGAGCCAGCTGTAAGATAATGAGCCTCAGGCTGGTTCAGTCACTGGACCAGTGGGATGGCGACTCTGGGAAATTCGTACTGCTCTTTGCTGGTTAGAAACTCTACCCCAAAGTGAAAGCAGCCATTCCCAGAGCTCAGCTGCAAAGCCTAATATGACACAAGAGAGGTTGTTGTTTAGTTGTTTGGTCGTGTCTGACTCTTCGTGACCCCATGGACCAGAGCACGCCAGGCACTCCTGTCTTCCACTGCCTCCCACAGTTTGGTCAAACTCATGCTGGTAGCTTCAAGAACACTGTCCAACCATCTCGTCCTCTGTCGTCCCCTTCTCCTTGTGCCCTCCATCTTTCCCAACGTCAGGGTCTTTTCCAGGGAGTCTTCTCTTCTCATGAGGTGGCCAAAGTATTGCAGCCTCAGTTTCAGGATCTGTCCTTCCACTGAGCACTCAGGGCTGATTTCCTTCAGAATGGATAGGTTTGATCTTCTTGCAGTCCATGGGACTCTCAAGAGTCTCCTCCAGCACCATAATTCAAAAGCATCAATTCTTCGGCGATCAGCCTTCTTTATGGTCCAGCTCTCATTTCCATACATCACTACTGGGAAAACCATAGCTTTAACTATACGGACCTTTGTCAGCAAGGTGATGTCTCTACAAGAGAAGTAGGAGGAAGGATATCATAGCTTAGTTGGTAGAGGATTAGACTTTTAATGTCAGGGCTGTGGGTTCAAGTCCCACTTTGGGCGAAAGATTCCTGCATTGTAGGGGGTTGAACAAGATGATCCTTGTGGTCCCTTCCAACTTTGCCACTTCTATGCCCCACTCCCGTCTCCCCACCCCCGGTGCTGCCATTGGTAGTACTGAGATCACTAAATGCATCATTGTTGAAGCTAACAATCAGCAAACGTTATACGACATTGCATCAAGGGATGGTTATACCTCACTTTCTAGCGCATTTTTTCACCCCCTTACTTATTGCAAAATGTCCTTGGGGAGGGGGTCTGATATGCAAGAGCACTGAAGCCACTTCAATTGAGGAACCTAAATTTGTCGCTACGTTACTGAATCCCACCCACAAAGTAGCAACAGTCTCAAATGGGCTCCAGTGCTTGTGAGCAAAAATAGGAAGGGGAGAAAATGAAACACCTAATTTACCTGTAGAATGGAATGCAATTTGCTACAGGCTCTATTAAGCAATGCAAGGGACACACAAAGCATATTACCTCTTTGCTTTCTCTCTGCGACCATGTGCTGCTGTTCTAATTTATAACTATGGATTTCCATTCAACACGTCTCTCTGCACTTAAAAGGCCACTTTAATTTTTCTCTCCCCAAGATAGGCAAGTAATTGAGACCAATTTGCTGAGCTTCTTTGCAGCCAGCTTGTTTACGGCTTTTGTCTTATTGCTAATGCTGCTGATGATTATGAAGACTCCATCAGAGATGGTCCTTTTCCAGACAGACTCTACAATTAATTCATTTCCACGGAGCTTCTCTCCTTTGTTGAGAATAAAACACATGGAAGGAAGCAAGCAAGCAAGCAGGACTTATTGCCTAGGTCTTGACACAGGATCTTCTGGAGTTGTAGGTAAGAGGCTATTAGTGGACCTCTCAACCAATGAGTATTGGAGGAGGGGAATGAATACAAAGCCCAAAAGCCACCATTGCCTTCAGGGCTGCATGCCCCATCTCTCCCATTATGTACTCTGGGCAGACCAGTAATGTGATTTGGTAGGAATGCTTCTTGTCACACACATAATGCAATAGTACCGTATTTTTCGCACCATAGGGCGCACCGGACCATAGGGCGCACCCAGTTTTTAGGGGGGGAAATCAAGAAAAAAATCTTTTCCCCCCAAGCCCCAAAGAGCAGCGTACAGGGTGCGCACAACCTCTCCCTGCCGGAGGGGTTGCGCGCAGCTATGGAGCAAGCCAAGTTTTGCCTTCCCCTTTAGCCCCGCGCAGCCTCTCCTTGCGGAGGGGTTGCGTGCAGCTATGGAAGAAGGCAAGGCAGCAAGCGGGATGGATCCCGCTCGCTGTTTTGCCTTCCCCTTTAGCCCCGCGCAGCCTCTCCTTGCGGAGGGGTTGCGCGCGGCTATGGAAGAAGGCAAGGCAGCAAGCGGGATGGATCCCGCTCGCTGTTTTGCCTTCCCCTTTAGCCCCGCGCAGCCTCTCCTTGCGGAGGGGTTGCGCGCGGCTATGGAAGAAGGCAAGGCAGCAAGCGGGATGGATCCCGCTCGCTGTTTTGCCTTCCCCTTTAGCCCCGCGCAGCCTCTCCTTGCGGAGGGGTTGCGCGCAGCTATGGAAGAAGGCAAGGCAGCGAGCGGGATGGATCCCGCTCGCTGTTTTGCCTTCCCCTTTAGCCCCGCGCAGCCTCTCCTTGCGGAGGGGTTGCGCGCGGCTATGGAAGAAGGCAAGGCAGCGAGCGGGATGGATCCCGCTTGCTGTTTTGCCTTCCCCTTTAGCCCCGCGCAGCCTCTCCTTGCCAGGAGATGCTGCGCAGGGCTTTCCTGGCTTTTCTGGGAGGTGGGGGAATTCCCCCACCTCCTGCAAAACCGGCAGAAGCCGCGCACACTTTAAAAGGGCTGCACGGCTTCTTCTGGCTTTCCTGGGAGGTGGGGGGATTCCCTCACCTCTCGCAAAAGCCCGCAGAAGCCGTGAGCTCTTTAAAGGGGCTGCGCGGCTTCTCCTGGCTTTTCTAGGAGGTGGGGGAATTCCCCCACCTCCCGCAAAACCGGCAGAAGCCGCGTGCACTTTAAAAGGGCTGCACGGCTTCTCCTGGCTTTCCTGGGAGGTGGGAGAAGGGACTGATGCGGCCAGTCAGTCCCTTCTCCCTCCTGTGGAAAAGCCCGCAAGAGCGCACGGAGCTTGTGTGTGGCTCTTGGGGGCTTTTCCCGCCTGCCTCCCCCCTGCATTCGCTCCATAGGATGCACACACATTTTCCCTTGCTTTTTAGGAGGGAAAAAGTGCGTCCTATGGTGCGAAAAATACGGTAGATCCATTTTTCTCCTGGGACATCAGCTGGCCTGTTTATTGAGCATCCTGACTGTTTGCAGGGAGATCAGATGAGACTGGCTATTTAATGACCATTCATTCTGATTTGTTTGTGGGGAGGTTAGATGAGGCTGCATCTGAGCAGGTGTTATCTCGTATTTTCCCGGATATATTTTCCTGCCACTTTCAGGAAAGTGGGTTAGTTTTGCACAACCATCCCATCAGTTGTAATTTGCTGGAAGGTGATAGAATCCCAGCTGAAAACGCCGACAGTCTGGAAGGGCCCTGAGTGCATAGGAGCCAACTCCTGGGGGGCCAAGGTCCCTCCCCCCCCTAAAATATTTGAGCACCTCCCCCCAAGTTGATGGGCATTGCCATTCAAATGGTGTTTGCAGCCACATCTTGTGATCGATTATGTAGGGCGAGACTTGCCTGCTCCCACCCTGTATTTTATTCAAGTTGGCACCCCTGCCTGAGTGAGTATTTGAACCCAGTCCTCCCCAACGTTAGTCTGATTCTCTGACCAGTACACCACACTGCCTCTCAATATGCAAGCAGCAGGGAGACCTTCCTGAAATGTAGGCTCATAAACAGCCTGGATTTAGGATAATTCAATGCGCAGTTGCTGCACGTGTTCTAGAATCTCTTTGCACAAGATCACAAACCCACAAGGGACCGGGTGGTTGCTGTGCATGAGAACCTCGTTCTGCATGCGAAAGAAGCAAGCGTGCGGGTCTCATGGGGAGGGAGCGTTGCCTGAT